CTTTACGTAGAGCTATCTTACACAGAATCGTTCTATTGCGAGATCACAACAATTTTTGGCACCGTTGCCGGGGAGATTAGTTTTTGTTTAGTTTTTAATTATTTTATTTTGGTTTACCAGTCTTCGGACTTTCTGATATCTCACCTTAATTCTTTTTCTTTTTAGGTACAATTTAGCAGTGAGGATAAAGATGTTTAAGGGAGAAAAAACTTCGGTTTAGTAAACCTTTTGTGAGTTTTTACTGTTTTTCTGTTACTTGGAATACTTTCTTTTTGTTACTTTTAGGATTAATGGAACTAGTGCATGTTAACTCATCAAACTAGGTCAAAACCTTTAATGCATGATCCTGAAATAGAGAGAACTTTGAGTCAGTTAAGAAAACTTTAAAAACATTTGAATAATATAGATAGTTCATCTGATAACATGGCTGAACAACGTAATGCACCGGGTAATAATGGTAATGGTAATGCCTTAGTGATACTTTTACCAGGTTCTTATGTTTATTTTTGTTTGTTTGTTTTTTGTAGGTTTTTACCTAAAGAGACGGTTAATTCTATGTATTTAAAGCTTATTGTGATGTTCCCGGTGCTTAAAGAGATGCTCGGGGCCTTTTGGATCAATTCGGGACTCAACTACAAAGATTTGGTGAAGTTTCAGGCTTTAGGGCTCGAGTACTGATGAAAAATTTTGGACCCACTTTAGTATTTTGGGCATAACTTTTTACTCAAAACTCTAAATCAGGTACACTCATCTTCTCTAGAAATAAGACTCGAATTCCATTATTTTTGTGTCTAATAGCAATTTCAAGATTCGTACTCCAAATAGGTCAAAATAGAATTATAACTTCAGAAAAATTTGCTAAAAAAAACTATATGTTGAAAACAGGGCTCGAGCGCTGTAGTGCTCAAGTGCTATAAGGGTCAAGTGCCATTCTAAAAAAATTAGCTAAGTGTTTAGAAAAAGACGCTTCAGAAAAAAATTTGGCTAAGTATGGGATTTAGGGCTCGAGCGCTGTTTATAGGGCTCGAGCACGAATGACAGGGCTTAAGCGCTATTTTGCCTAGGAGTTAAAAATACATGCGGGAAAGCTACAAAATCACTCTTCTTTGTTTCCTTATGGGCCTAATTGTCCCTAAAAGCTATAAAACTCATCCAAGGGGGATTAAACTTGTTCTCCATTATAAAAGAAGATGAAAATACACATTGAAAGTGGACTTAACACTTTTCGGAAGACTTGGCGGCTTTTAAGGTTTTGAAGATTGAAGATTCCAATTGGCAGACCATGGAGATGGTTACTACACCAACAATTATGACATCATACCTCTCCATGAGTAGCTAAAACATTCATTAGGGAATTGATGTAACCCTAGTTCTAGTAGTATGGTTTGATTGTTCTTAACTTTGGGGAATTTTATATGTATATTGATTGCATGGTTGTGAGCAATTGACTTAGTATTCCTGACCAATTGGGTGTTTAATGAAAATTATTGGTTTTTTATGAAATTAATTTCTTGTCTTATAATTAATTTTGCTTTAATCAAACTCAAACTATTTTTATTGTGAGAGGTTGGTAGCTAAGAGCTTCTCTTAATGGTTTAAGTAGTGATCATGCAATGGTGTTTAATTAAATATGTATGAATGAATGTTTTGATAATTCATGCCTAGGGAAGACGAGTTGTACTGCACCCTATATTAGAGTAGTTAGGTAGACAATTCGTGCCAACTGAAGATGAGTTATGGCTTAGTATTTATTCATATATACATTCTTAATTGAATTAAAGTGTGCTTGTAGCCACTTGATTTCCGAATATGCATAGTGTGAATTCCCCATAGTTAAGACAATATACCATATTATGAGGCTAGTTGTGAAGTCAATCCCTAAGTTCTTCTCACTTTGATCTCATCCCTTATTAATTTAGTTTCTTTTAGTTTTCTTGCATTTTATAAATAGAAAACATCAAAAAAATTTCTCTTGAATCAAATAGGGATTAATTTTATACTTAACAATCCACCACAATCCTTGGGGTTTGACACCCTCAACATAACCCTATCTTACAGGGATTCGTTTTTATTGCGAGTAATTTTTATCATTGATAATACACCCATCAATTTCCTCTTTAGGCTAGGAGTACAAGCCAATGTCACCTATATATATGTTGTTATAGAAGTAAGCCTCCCAAGCCTAATTGAGCACCTTTATGAGCATCATTGCGAGCTACATTAACATACACTCAAGACACCAAGAACAATGACATATATCTAAGTTTTAACAATCATTTGAGAGCTTAATTCAACTCAGGATTATACATAGTGTGTGTGTGTGAATCATTAAAGATAGAGATGATGGATGTTGTAAGTTGTTTTTGTTGCTACTAAAGAGAGGTTCAGAGGTTCAATCCAAACTTGAGGCCATTTCAAAGGTTTTCAGAGGTTGAGGCAAGTTTGGTTTACCATTTTGCAACTGCAGAACTAGTGGCTATGCTCATATTCCAACTGTAGTTGACTTTGATGTCTCAAACCTTATTATATGCCTTGTTTTTTGGTTTAGCCTTTTGTCATGAGTATATATGCATGTTATCTTGCTATGAGTTGAACTCTTATCATTTAAGCAACTTTCTATAGTTGATTTAAGGCTGTACAAGTTGATCTTTGCACAGAGAAAATGTCATTTGGTGTTTTAACCTCTGAAACCCTAGGTTTTAGGGTTCTTGCATATATAATCCCTATTGAGCTGTGATTGTGATATACCTTGCTTGAATAGGTGTACAATGTTAATATAAGTTTGAGGGTACCATTTTTAGGTCTGTGACAATACAAAATTCTAGTTTTACCCCTCTGAGCATAAATTCTGCAAAATGTTGTTTTGCTGTTGTGGTTGATACTTTAAGCTGTATATTCACTCTTATCTTGTGTGATAGCTTAATTATTGTTGTAATACATCTTTATATATATATATATATATATATATATATATATATATATATATATTGTGTGAGGTGTGAGAGCTCATAGGGTCTAGGCAGGGTTGCTTAGGACAAAGGGAGTGCGTGTGTGCATTGTTATGAGTCAAGGTGTATGCAGAGTGAGAAACAGCTGAGTGTGTGTAATAACCCTATTTTTTAAAGGATTTATTTTATTGTATTTAATTAGTTTATTTATTTTATTTGGCTTTATTTGTATTTAATTGTTATTATTAATTAATTGGCTTGTTTAATTTAATTATGTGCAAATTATTTGTTTGATTATGTGCTTAAGGTTTATTTAATTATTATTATATGGTATTAATTTTAATTATTTACTTTTTTATTTTTTATTTTATTTATTTTTATCAATGGGTTGGGTTTTAATATGTTGGACCACAGGATTTGAGTTTAGCTTATTTTGAGGGACTTGTTGGGTTGTATTGGAATTAAAGCCTATGTAGTAGATTAAAGCCCATGTACTATATGATATGTATATTTATTTTATTTTATTTTATGATTATAATTATATATATTTATCTAGGATTATTATTATTAGGGTTAGTATGATACGTATAATCAAAAGAGAGAGATATAGAGCCAGAATTGAGAGGCAAAGAGGGAGAAGAGAAATTAACTAATCTAAAGCTGCTAGAGTTGGAGAAGAAGAACAGATAAGGCGAGTTCTTTTCTACTCTTCCCCCTTAGAACCTATAAGTTTTGCACCTTATGCTTGACTTTAGGGTTTAATTCAGAAGAAATTGAACATGATTACATGCTTTAATTTTATCTATATTGAACTGTATATATATATATATATATATATATATATATATATATATGTCTTTGTTTTTCTAAATTTGTTGACTTAGTTTTGAAAACTCTAATTTGATTAATTGTTGTTGTTTGATGAATTTGAACCTTATTTATGCTTTTATTAATTATAATTGAATGATTTAAACTGTTATGTACAATTGTTAAGAAATGATTTTCAGACAATGTAAGACAGAATTATTTCTGTCAGTATTTTGAACAACGGTTCGTTAAGTTTGTTTTCGATTAGATAATAGTGTTTTTGAGGATTAAACGATCAATTGAGAAAAATCCATTAGCTGTGTCATTTCAGTTTATGGCCGAAACCTATTATTTAGGATTCCGAAATTGTATTTTTTAATCTATTAAGAGATATCGGAATATTTTTGTGATTTTGGTTGGAGGTTGAAACGAAATTCGATTATGGGTTATTGATAAGTTTGAATGTTGAACCGTCAATTTCTTATTAGATCTTCTTATTACAATACGCCATGTTCTAAATAAATTCAATTGTGGGTTAGTGATAAGATTGAATGTTGAAGTGTCACTTTCTTATTAGATCTTCGTATTATAATAAGCCATGTCATTGTCTAAGATTTAGACAAAGGAAATAACAATGAAATGTAGTCCTTTTGTTCGGAGGTATTATACATGTCATTTTATAGTTTTGGTGAGGGAGGTTAACAAATTAATTAATAGTAATGATACTTGCACCGAATTGTTATATAGAATGTTTTTTATTAGTTATTTATACATAATATATATAAGTAGAGGCTCTATTTTTTTATTTATGAATAAATTGATTAATTAAATAAAAAAGTGTGGCAATGTACTATACATAAATAACTAATCAAATATATTTTGTGTAATAAATCGGGTGCAGGTATCACGTTACTTAATTGTGCATAATAGAAGTAAACGCTCACTCCTTATTTGTTGGATAAATACCAAATAAAAGAAGTATGATGAGCAATTATCGCTACTCTTATATGAATTAGTCAGGTTCGTCCTTAAGCAGCAAACATCGCCTGTCTCGGCGCACTCTTATTATTTTATTTGTTTAAATATAACTTGAATTATATGAATTACTCAGGTTCGTCTTTACGCAGAAACCATCGCCGCACTCACATGCAACGTCCTGCACATCTCTAGTTGTTATCTCACAAGAATGGTTTTTTGTAAGCTGCTCAGAGAATAGAAGGCAATATTCTCGATCTGTCTCCAAGGATGGACGTAGATGGCTTCCAAGGCTTCCAAGGCGACTATAAACACACGCTGACCGACGCTATACCGCATTCCCACAGCCAATGCCAATGCCAGAAACTGCATAGCAACCGCTCGGATGAGCCGCTTCCGGAGTTCGTGGGAAATGGCGGTGGCAATGGAGTCTTCAAACTCCCAGTTCGCTCTGCCGTCAATCCCGGCCGTCCGCCCTGCCTCGAGTTGAGGCCCCATCCGCTGAGGGAGACTCAAGTCGGCAAGTCCTTGACAACTATTGCTTGTACGGACACTCAGCTCTGGGCCGTTCAGCAGTCTGGTGAGATCAGGGTCTGGAACTTCTCCGACGCTTACCGCCAGCAGCAGCACCACCACCCGGGGATTCCGAGAGGAGACGAGGATGCCGCACCCTTTTATGAATCGGCTCATATTTCTTCGCCCGCAACGTGTTTGGTAATTGATTCAGGGAGTAAATTGGTTTGGAGTGGGCATAAGGATGGCAAAATCAGGTCCTGGAAGATGGATGATGATCACCCATCATCATTAATGGAAAAAAATGATAATCATCGTCATACTTATACTCCTTTCCAGGAAGCTCTCTCTTGGCAGGTTCATCGTGGACCCATTCTTTCCATGGTCATCTCTTCTTATGGTAACCCAATTCATCCATTTAATTATTAAAATTGCACGCAATCTCAAATTCTTTATATGAGTATAAAGTTTCCAAATGATTGAGACGAATTATGTTAATTCCTAAGAAAAATATTTATTAATTAAGATATCGGGATAATGTGTTGGAATATGCATGAAACTTTAATTATCATTGAAATCACACCAGAGCATGCTTCTCTCGATTGTAGGGGTGGCAAAATTTGATGCAGGTTTGGGTTCCTGACAAGATTATTAAACAGACACGTCTTGTTCAGATTGACTTGTTTAACAAAATACTCATTGTTTGACATGACACAATTATGACCTGCCAACATGAATTGCCACCCCTAGTTGATTGGTATTTCAAGCTTTTGGGTACAAAGTTCAATTTTCAGTCAACTCAGGAAAGCACTAGTCTTTCTCCAACATTATTTTGTTTATGCTACATTATGCAATTTTTAACTTATTTAGTGATTGATTTTGATAGGACTGGTACCAAAATGCACATAAGTACAAGAAAAATATCTTCTCATGCTTTTAAAAGTTACGTGGTTCAAATCCACCCCATCCCCCACCCCCTAAATAATGTTGTTCAATTTCACTCACAGCACTTTACGTTGCTTTGATCCAGGTGATCTATGGACAGGTTCTGAAGGTGGTATTCTTAAGGTTTGGCCATGGGAAGCCATTGGAAAATCCCTTTCTTTATTGCCAGATGAAAGACACATTGCTGCTTTATTAGTGGAGAGGTCATCCATTGACCTTACGAGCAAAGTCACCATTAATGGTGTCTGTAATATTTCTTCTTCTGATGTGAAGTGTTTATTATCTGATAATATTAGAGCTAAAATATGGGCAGTTGGGTCTCTAACATTCTCATTGTGGTACGTTTACACTTCAGATGTTGTCCTCTATGAGATTAATATACTTCTGCACTTTACATTGGCAATCCAACAATTTAACAACATTGTTGGAAGTTAATGTTACATCGTATGTACACAAGAAATTTTTATTCCTCTGTAATATATAATCAAACACTTCAAAACTGATAATTTTAGGGGGAAAGCATCACTTTCTTTAGTGCCTTGTTGCTTGTAAATGAACTTCTACATTTCCCTTGTTTAATCTCAATTATCCTTATTGTTGGCTATTCTGCAGGAATGCTCGTACACGGGAACTTTTAAAAGTATATAATGTAGATGGTCAGATTGAGAATCGAGTCAACATGTCATCAGTGCAAGAGCTAGCAGTTGAAGATGATATGAATGTAAAGTTTGTTTCCAAGTCAAAGATGGAGAAATCCCAATGTATTAATCTTTTTCAATGGTCATGGAATGCTATAATGGGAGTTGCAGATGCTGTTCATCAATTTGCAGCAAAGGGTGCAGAGGCATTCTTTGAAGATACTAAAAGAACAGAAGCGCTAGTGATAACTGTAGATGGAATGATCTGGAGTGGATGTTCAAACGGCTTACTTGTTCAATGGGATGGCAATGGAAATCGTTTGCAAGATTTTCATCATCATCCATATGCAGTTCAATGCTTTTGTACTTATGGGTCACAAATATGGGTTGGCTATGTGAGTGGTATAATCCAGTTGTTAGATCTTGATGGAAAATATATTTCAGGATGGGTTGCTCATAGTAGTCCTGTGATAAAATTGGTAGTCGGGACTGGTTATGTTTTTAGCTTGGCTGCCCATGGTGGTATACGTGGATGGAGCATCACATCTCCAGGACCTCTTGACAACATACTGCACAGAGAATTGGCAGCAAAAAAACTAATATACACAAGGAGAGAAAATATTAAAATTTTAGTTGGAACATGGAATGTTGGTCAAGGAAGAGCATCTCATGATTCACTTGTGTCATGGCTGGGTTCTGTAGTATCAGATGTTGGCATTGTTGTTGTTGGGTTGCAAGAAATTGACATGGGTGCAGGTTTTCTTGTCATGTCTTCAGCAAAAGAAATTGTGAGATCTTCTAAACAACTCTTTTACATTTCCTTTATGGAAGCAATTCTTTTACATTTCCCTTATGGAAGCAACTTCATAAGTGCTGCATAAATCGACTGAAGAGGCCAACATACCCACAATCATGCATCAAGAAAAAGTAGAGTATAGCAAATTCACATAAATTTTATTTGAAAAACCCAACCAGGAAAAACCACAAGACCTGATCCAGACAGACACAATCCATTATATGAGAAAGAAGTTGCAATTAGATTGACAGTTCCCACACCCTAGAAACCGTAGTTATCTCTTGACACAGACTGATGCTAAACTCTCCACTCAAGTCTTTATGCCATCCAGCCTCTTGTTAACAGACTTCGCTCCTCACCAATTCGTTTTTCTAGTGATTGTCCATCCTTCTGCTTTGAATTCTGATCAGTTGGTCAGAACTGAATTGATAAATTTCTCATTGATCAACACTCAATCACATATGATGGTGTCTAAGGAAACCCCAGATTGAGTAATTGGAAATATTCACTCTATCTCAAGGACTTTCTCTGTCTTGATGATTAGAGACTTCAATTCAATGCCTATACTAATAATAACCGATATTTATAGCAAATATAGGAAGCCCATTCAAGTAAGTAGTTTGAATCCTTTTAAAATCCTGTTTTGACAGAGTTTCCAAAAACATATATCCTACAGGTTCGATTGATACCCTCAGGTATTGCTTCGATCCAACGACTATCCATTAATACCCTCAATAATTCACACCCTGCAATATAGACGGTTGACCTATCAACCAATGATCTCTAGAACTTGCTCTATCGATCGATCTCTGCTGTTTAGTAAAAGCACAATTTTGAAAAATGCTTAAAATCCTTATCTTTGAAAAGCCTTTTTCCAAAAACAAATTAAAATAAAGCTTTGAGCCTCTCCTAGATCAATCTATGTCAATTTTAGTCTTTCTAAGGTCATCTCACCTATGCCCTATATATGTGATTGAAGATGCGGACCTGTTGCTGTGTTTTTCGTCATTTTTTGTCCTCCATTTGTTGTCGTTGGTTGAACTCATATGACTCAAGACACTTTGACACATTACAACCCAAGATTTGAATAGAAATTGCCAACACAAGACTCATTTACATAAAATAATACATTAAAATGGTGTCAAGTTCCCACCTCTTCCCTGTCAAAGGAGTTAAATTATGTATTGATGCTGAAGGAACATCATACTTAGCCTTGAGTTATTTTACCATTTTCACTTATTTGGTGCATTTTCTCGTGTATTTTAGACTATAGGGAACTGCTTTTTTGGGAATAATTCTTGAATACAGAAAGTTGAATTTTTTTAATGACTGGATTGCTTATATGTTAGTTGAAAATTATGATCATTTTAAGAAACTAGTCATTGAAAAAACTGTATCCTTCTGAATGATGTAGACTTTAAGGTGTCAAAATTTGATTCATTCTCATGACACAATTCCTAGATTCTACTTTTTCCTTCAAATACATCTAATCTTAATTATTTTCGCATGATTTTAATTTTTTACAATTCTCTATATCCCCAAAAATTTTAGATACTGTGCAAATTGTAGCGATTATATAATAAACTAGCATTTTCTGCAACTATCTTGCTACTACTAAACCTGTTCTTTATTTTTAAATATTCTTGTTTTGACTTTCCCTCCTTTTTTTGTATAAATCTCTATTAATTGATTCTATGCCAATTATAGGTCAGAGTTAAGGGGAGTGCCATTGGGCAATGGTGGCAGGACACAATAGGAAAGACCCTGGATGAACGATCAAGTTTTGAACATGTAGGGTCTAGGCAGCTGGCAGGCTTGCTCATTGCTATCTGGTAAGTGACCTTATTTTTTATGTTGGAGATTGAACTTTCAAACACAAAATAAGCCTTTCTGCTCCTCGTTATGGAGGCATCTTTCTCCTTTCCAACTTAATCTCTAATGTTGTGGGTTGTTTGGCCTAGGGTTAGAAAGAATCTTAGAATGTATGTTGGTGACGTCGATGTTGCAGCAGTCACATGTGGCTTAGGGCGAGCAATCGGTAATAAGGTATGGTTGTCTTCCTTTAAGGTCATTCGTCATGCAGTGGAGGTTAGATTTCGGTTAAATTTTTGTTTTTTGTTTTTTTTTTTTCTGGAAAAAATGGAAAATGAAAGTGTTGGAGATTTTTTAGCTCATTTATTTCAAATTCTAGGGTATATTACATTTACACAAGGTGGTCGAAATAGGCCTTTATTACATTGACCACTCTAATGGCTGTTAAGTTGTTATGGACGTAAAAAAAAATATGGATGAAATGTCAATTATATCCCTGAATTTTATAAGATTCAAATAAAAAAAATACATTGTAAACTAAATTACTAAATTAACACTCTTTCTCTCCATCCACCTAGAACTTCCACCACTGCCATTTCTCTCTCTCTCTCCACCCATTTGCAATTTTCCAGCACCACTACCATTCCTCTTGTCTTTCTCTCTCTCTCTCTCTCTCTCTTTCCACCCACCTGCAACCTCCACCATCACCCCTTTCTCTTTCCACCCACCTACATCACCAACTCCTCATGAAAAAATCAATCTTCGCACCCTCATTCTCCATAATAAACCCTTCAAAATACCAACTATACACCGATTCAATCTCAGAATCTGAAGGAGCCTCTTAAGGTAAGAAGTATAGTCGGAAACCATTGCCGCAATCATCGTGTATTCGGTAGAACCAAAGCCTAAGAGCCACCATTGCCGTTGAATGGGTCTTCTTCAGATTTGCATGGGTTTTTGGGTTTTCTAAAGAATGGGGCTTCCAAAGATTTGCTATTCCAAGTTTGGGCTTAGTGTAATTCTATTTTGCATATGTATATATTACCATCAATTGTATTGGTGTTTGGTAGGACTATGAAATCAGAACTAATATATTGGGGTTCCAAGACAGTAGCATGCAAGTGCAAATGAAAATTAGTAGTTAGTTCATATATGTAAACGTATACATATTGTTGGAAATTGTGTCTCAAATTCCTATTCTAATTGGGATTCTATTTTAGAGTTGTATTCTATTAGGTAATTTCTTATTTGGCAAGTCTTGGCCTCTAAGGAATTGTAATCCTTGTCCAACAAGGAATTATGTTTGTAACTCTATAAATAAGTACATATGTTATGGGTTGAGACTTAAGAGATTGAGGTAGAGAGACTCTAGAATTTGCACAGAAACAGAGCGAAGGGCTGAAATCTTGTAATCTCCGATTTTACACATAGTGAAAACTTTCGCCGGATCTCGACCGTGGATGTAGGCTGTTGCTGAACCACGTACAAATCTTTGTGTGGTGTGTTTACTTTTAGGTTGTGATTCTTGATTCAACTTGGGTTCGTTGCGTTTGTCATAACAAACTGGTATCAGAGCTTTCGGTTCGAAGCAGGGATGTCGTCCAAGTTTCTGGATATCGAGAAGTTTAACGGCAGAAGCGATTTTAACTTGTGGCGGGTTAGGATGTAGGATTTGTTGATTTAACAAGGATTATCCAAGGTGCTAAAGGGGAGGGATGCACTACCAGAAAATATCAAGGACAAAGATGAGGTTACGGAGAAAACACACAGTACAATTTTGTTGTGCTTGAGTAACGAGGTTCTGCGAGAGGTTGCTAGAGAGATTACAACGAATGGGTTGTGGTAGAAGTTGGAGTCCCGGTATATGGCGAAATCTCTTGCGAATCGCTTATATCTAAAGAAGCAGTTGTTCACTCTTCAGATGCACGAAAGGTCGTCTTTGAAAGACCATCTTGACGAGGTAAATAGTATCATCATGGATTTAAATAATATTGATGTCAAGATAGAGGATGAAGATTAGGCTATTATTCTGTTATATTCTCTACCACCCTCTTATGAGAACTTTGTCGATACAATAATGTATGGTAGAACTGCCTTGTCCATGGAAGACGTGAAGGCAACTTTGAATTCTAAGGAGTTGCAGAAAAGGGCGTTTGAGGGCAATACAGAAAGTTCGGCAGAAGGGTTATTTGTTAGAAGGAGAACGAATAAGAAGGGAGGGTCTGGTAGCAATGGTCGTTCTAAGTTTAAGAACAAAACGAAGGTGTTGAGATGCTTCATCTGTCACAAGGAAGGGCACTTAAAAAAGGATTGTCCGGAGCGTAAGAAGGGAAAGGTAAAATCCTCTGAAATTAAAAGTGTGGCTGTTGTAGAGGGTAATGGTTCAGATGGTGGCAATGTCCTCACAATTTCAGTCTACAGCTCTTGCGATGAGTGGATTCTTGATTCAGGTTGCTCGTTTCATGCTTGTCCAAATAGGGAATGGTTTACCTCTTATCGATCTATTGATGGAAGGGAAGTTCTGATGGGGAATGATGCGGCGTGCAAGGTTGTAGGTATCGGTATAGTTCGAATCAAGATGTATGATGGCATAGTAAGAACACTGACTGATGTCAGGCATGTACCAAAACTGAGAAAGAATTTGATTTCCCTGGGTACGCTAGATTCCATTGGATGCACTTATAAGGCTAGAGGTAGAGTCATTCGGGTTTCCAAGGGTGCTCTTGTGGTGATGAATGGACTGAAGAAGCATGATTTATATACTCTGCAGGGTAGCACAATTACGGGTTCAATTGCTGTATCGTCTTCAGATCTGGATTCAGATACTACCAGATTATGGCATATGCGGCTTAAGCATATGAGTGAAAGGGGGATGGATGTTCTGAGTAAGCAGGGCTTGCTTGGTGGTCAGAAAACTGGGAAGTTGGATTTCTGTGAGCATTGTGTCTTCGGGAAGTAGTGCAAAGTGAAGTTCAGAGTAGAAATTCACAGGACCAAAGGTACGGTGGATTATATTCATTTTGATCTTTGGGTCCCTTTCAAGTTACTTCACATGGTGGTGGTAGATATATGATGACACTGATTGATAACTTACGTTCAGCAACACCATTCTGTTGAGAGGTGTGGACACAACTAGTATGATCAATGATACCTCGATCAACACAAAATGAATTCATTGTAGATTTATATACTCCAAGGCATTATCAGAACGAATAACGTTAATGCGTTTACTAAACTGAGTAAGAATTTCATTATAAAACTAGGCAACAATATGAGGTAACTCCGACCTCTCTTTCATTAAAAATAACCATGTCATCCGAGAATAATCATCAACAAATATAAAAAAATAATGATATCCATTCAAATTGGTAGTTCTAGAAGGACCCAAATGTCCGTGTGGACTACGTCAAATGACTTAGTTTGACGACTTTGACTACAACACAAAAAAGAACTATGGTGATGCTTGCTCTACTGACAAGCCTCACATTCTAAAACAGACACATAACTTAAGGTAGGAATAGCTAATCTCAACTTGGCCAAGGACGGATGACCTAAACGAAAATGCCACTGAAGAGGTGAGACCGTAGTACTCAAGGTTGATGACATAACAGATGGAGGTTCACTAGGATCCAGATAATAAAGCCCGTCCTTCTCATGTCCCGAACCAATCATCTTCTTCGTCCTGAGGTGCTGAAAAACACATGATATGGGAGAAAAGGTTATGGAACAATGTAATGATTTAGTTAATTGACTTACAGAAAGCAAATTAAAAGGGAAATTAGGAACATAGAGACTGGAAGATAAGGATAATGAATTGGTAGGGTGAAGAACACCTTCCCAAGGATGGGACGAGAAGAGCCATTAGCTAAAACAATTGGTTAATAGATTTCAAATTAGAAAAGAGAGATGATATACCAGACATATGTGAACTCGCTCCAAAGTCAATGACCCCAAACGGAGATGACTTGGCCACACACGCAACATTACCTGAATTGGCAAAGGTAGCAACGGAAGTGGGTGGAAAAGTAGTTTTCAACATCTGAATAAGCTCGTTAAGTTGAGTGGTGAGTGCATCACGAGAACCAAAATCACAAGCTTCATATCCAGAACTGGTGCGAGGCTGTGACTGTGAAATACCATCAAGAGCCTGATGAACATAATTTGGCTTACCATACTTTACCCGACAATAAGGTTAAGTATGATTCGTATCACCACAATGATCACATTTCCTATCTCCGCGTCCACTAGAACGACCACCACCACGAGAACCACCATGAAAAACACGGCCGCCACAACCACCACGTTGTGCATGCACAGTACCATGACCTCTATTGCTAGAAACTAAGGCAGAAGACTCTATGGAAGTTACAGCGAAGCTTTGTCCCAAAGAGGACCTCAATAATCGAGAATATGCATTGGCAGCCATAGTTAACTTTTCACTAGCAAGAATCTGATCTTTAAAGCCACGAAAATCAGAGTCTAAACCGGAGAGCAAAGAAGCAATCATAAAGTCCTCTCAGTGACGCTTTTGTTGCTCTAAGTCTGTAGTAAACGGTCGATGTTGCAATAATTGATCCCACAAATTTTTAATGGTGCTGTAGTACTCAGATAACGGTTTTCCAGATTGCTTAGTAATGAAAATCTGCTCATACAACTTATAAACCCGAGAAACATTGCTCTGTTGCGAGAATAATTCCGCGAGAGATTCCCAGATCGTCTTAGAGGACTCACAAAATGCAACTGTAGTAGCAATACGAGGTCCTATACTATGCCATAACCATCCCATAATAGAATCCTCACACATCCAATCCTCATATTCCTTGGACTTTGTGTCACTAGGGGGTCATCAGTCAAGTATTTCAATTTGCTACGTCCACGCAAAAAAAATCTGTACGGCATGGACCCAAGCAAGATAATTAACATCGTTCAACTTTGTTGAAGTAATCGACTTAGGCATATCATCATCCTTGAGTGGTGGTTGTGGTTTATTCTCAGCCATGGCAAAGTTTGGATCAAAATAAAATAAAGAGCATATTCAAAAGGAAATTTCAGACCAGAATATAAGGATAGGAGGCAAAAAAAGAAACAGAAGCAGTAGGTGATCTAAGTGCTGGAACATATTCAAAATGGGTCAGAAACTCAAAACAGAATGCAAAACCTGGTTGGCAATTTTAAGATGCATCTCGAGGAAAGTTTAAGTACAAATTCTGGCAGCCCAAGCATCGATAAACAATTTAGAAGGCAAAGAGTTCCAAAAAAAAAGTCCCAAATTATAGAAAACTGGTCAAACGAACTCCTTAGATCCAAAAAAGTTGTCCCAGATGCAGCAAATCAATAAACAACCAGCAATCAAGTTCTTTCCCAGTCGAAATGCAACATATGTGATGAATCTCAACCAATAAAAACAACTAAAAAGGCTCCAAAATCCAGATCGAAAGCAAAAGGGCTGAAACTCGGAAAAAGTTACGAAAATTGAGAAAACAACTCAAACAGCCTCAACTCGAATCACAAATACCACCATAAATCCCAGAAAAATCAGGTGATCCAATCTGTACAAATTTTGACCCCAAAAAATTCTGACGTCATTCTAACATCAGCATGTGTCAGATGATGTCAGCGTGTGGTTGCTGATGCCAGACCCCTTCCGATGTTCTGCAACTTGACAAAGATAAGTTCTTGGCTTTGATACCAAGTTAGAGCTTGTGAGGGTAATTTATTTCTAGGGTTAGAGAGGAAAAGTGGAAGGAGGAGGAGGAGAAGAACAGAAATTGGAGAACATAATATAATGGTTGTAGGGTTTCTGCACCACCTCACTTATATATATTTTGAGATAAGAAAATTACAATAATGCCCCAAAGTAAACAAGTAAAACAGTAAACACTCTCTAACTCCGACAAAGATGAACCATTTAATCAAATCTCCAATAGATAATGTGTTCCATGTGTTAATTTTAAAAAGTAATGTAATTATTCAATAATAATCACTTTTGAAATAAGGCATGAATTTAAAGAAAAGAAACTAACACAGAAATTGGGAAAAACTGGAGTATATTTTATTACTTTCTAATACAAAGCAGCCTGACCTTTATAGGCTTAATACAATCAGATCAGAATCCAGTAAATTAAGGAATATACAATCAAATCCCTAAGATCAGAAAATAAAATAAGTCAACCTAAACTTTAATACACCAGCTATATTAGCCTGTAATTAGTACAAAATCAGACAGTTAATACTTTCCAAATTTATCTAACAATTACATAAATCACGTAATTCTCCAACACTCCCCCTCAAGCTGGGGAATAAATATCTTCCATCCCCAGCTTGTAGACAATTCTTTGAAACGCAGGACTGGCTAACCCTTTGGTTAGTACATCAGCTAGTTATCCTCTTGTTGAGACATACGGAGTACAAATTAGTCCATTATCGAGCTTTTCCTTTATGAAGTGGCGATCAACTTCCACATGCTTGGTGCGGTCATGTCGCACTGGATTATGTGCAATATTGATGGCTAACTTGTTATCACAATATAACTTCATCGGCCTCTTAACTGAAACTCCAAGATCCTTCAGGACTATTTTCAACCAGAATAATTCACATAATCCTAAAGCCATGGCACGAAATTCAGCTTCTGCACTTTACCTTGCAACTACTGGCTGCTTTTTGCTCCTCCATGTAACAAGATTCCCACCTAGGAAGGCACAATAACCCGAGGTTGATCTTCTATCTGACACTGAACTTGCATAGTCTGAGTCTGTGTAAACTTCTAAGTTCAAGCACAATCCTCTCTTGAACAATATGCCTCGACCTGGACTAGATTTTAGATATTGCAGGATTCTGTATACTGTTTGGAGATGTACTTCCTTTGGGTTGTGCATAAATTGGCTCACTGCACTAACTGCATAGGCGATGTCAAGCCTGGTGTGAGACAAGTAGATTAATCTTCCAACAAGTCTTTGATACATTCCTTTGTCAACTGGCTCATCATCAACAGCTTCTCCAAGCTTATGATTCGGTTCATTGGGAGTCTTCACGGGCTTACAGCCTATCTTTCCTGTTTCTTTCAGTAAATCAATAACATACTTTTGTTGTGAGACGAAAATTCCTTCTTTGGAGCGAGCAACTTCAATTCCCAGGAAGTATTTCAGCTTGCCTAGGTCTTTTATTTCAAATTCCGTGGCCAGTTTAGCTTTAAGAGTTTCCCTTTCAGCTTGATCATTGCCAGTGACAATAATATCATCTACGTATACAATGAGGACTGTAACTCCCCCTGAAGAAGAGTGTTTTATGAACAAAGTATGATCACCTTGACTTTGTTTGTACCCATTGCTAACATTGCTCTTGCAAACCTGCCAAACCAAGCCCTGGGGGATTGCTTCAGTCCGTACAGTGCCTTCCTTAGTCTGCATACCCTATTCTTCTTCGGAAAACTAAATCCTGGAGGAGTGTCCATATATATTTCTTCTCCAAGATCTCCATGCAGAAATGCATATTTTACATTAAACTGCTGCAAAGTCCAATCAAAGTTAGCAGCCAAAGACAATAAAATTCTTATTGTGTTCATTTTTGCCACTAAGGGCAAAAGTTTTTTGATAATCAACACCAAAGGTCTGGGTATATCCTTTTGCTACTAGCCTTGCCTTGTACCTTTCAAGAGATCCATCTGCATTGAATTTTACTGAAAACACCCATTTGCATCCCATAGTTTTTTTTCCCTTCTGTAATTCGACAATCTCCCAAGTCTTGTTCTTTTCCAGTGCGTCCATCTCAACTTTCATGGCCTGCTTCCATTCCCTGCTGTTTAATGCCTCAGACAATGTTTTAGGAACGGCTATTGAGTTTAGCTGAGTAAGGAAGGCTCTATGTGAGGGAGATAATTTTTCAAAGGAAACAAAATGAGAGAGTGGATGTTGTGTATACCTTCGGGTACCTTTTCGAACTGCAATGGGTAGTTCTAAATCAGTCTCATCAAACACAAGAGTGGAATTGTTTACCTGAGTAGTGTTTTTCTCCTGAGTGGTTTCTTTCCCAAGCATAGGTTCTGACTTTTGGGCTTGCTTCGGATTAGTCTTGCCTCCCTTCCTTCTCGAAAAAACTTGAAGTGGTTTAGTGACTACTGGATTGATTGATGGAGTTGGATTTTTAGGAGGAGATTGTGGTTGAGATTCAAGAGATGTCACACTTGGATTTTGAAGCGGAGGAATATCAGAATTGGGATCGGAAGTAGGTAGTGAAACCTGGGAATGAATGTGATCCGGACTTGGAGAAGCCGCGGTAAGAGGGGAACCAAAGGAAACCGAGGCAGGAGTGGTTGCAGAACTTGGACTCAAAGATGGTGGTGACAATTTGGGCATAAGATTGAAATCGAGGACATCGGCATCATCATCCTTTTCATCACTTGTTACCTCCCCCTGAGGAGAAGGATGATGAAAGAAACTCTCATGTTCAACAAATGTGACATCAATTGAAATGTAGGTTTTCCGAGTAGGCGGATGGTAACATTTGTAACCTTTTTGAGTTGAAGAGTAACCTATAAAAATACATTTAAGTGCTCGGGGATCAAGTTTGCTTCGATTGTGAGCATGAACATGAGTAAAGATAACACAACCAAATACCCGAGGAGACAACCTGTTTGGAGTAAGGAAGTCTGGAAAATGATGTGAAAGTGTTTCCCAAGGACTTCTAAAATCTAAGACTTTGGTAGGTAATTGGTTGATGAGATGAGTGGCTGTAAGAACGGCTTCCCCCCAAAAATATTTTAGAACTTGTCTTTGAAAAAGAAGAGCACGGGTAGCTTCAAGAAGATGTCCATTCTTTCTTTCGGCCACCCCATTTTGTTGGGGTATGTCAATGCATGAGGACTAATGAACTATTCCCTCCTGATTCAAATATGGTGAAAGAATTTGGTTAAAATATTCTCTCCCGTTGTCTGTCCTCACCCTTTTAATTTTCACCCCAAACTGTGTTTTTATCATGTTATGAAATATTGGAAAGATATTGGCTACATCAGATTTTTGCTTCATGAGAAAAGTCCAAGTTACCCGCGTACAATCATCTATAAAAATGACAAACCAACGTGCCCCAGAATAATTAGCAACCCGTGAAGGACCCCAAACATCACTGTGCATCAAATAAAAAGGAACTGATGATTTATTATTGTTCAAAGGAAAGGAAACACGTTTGTGTTTGGCAATTTCACAAATATCACAATGAAGTTGTTTCAAATCAACATTTTTAAACAAAGAAGGAAACATAAGACTAAGAGTTCTGAAGGAAGGATGACCAAGCTAAAAATGATGAAGGAGAATTTTGTCTTTATTTGTGAAGGAATCAGACAGAAGCACAGATAAACAACCAATTCCAGTACTCACTTTTCCACTCATGGGCTCGAGACAGTAGAGACCATCCTTTTCTTTAGCGTGCCCAATCGTCTTACCCGAAGCTCGGTCCTGAAACACACATGAATTTTTTGAGAAAATAAGATTGCAGTTCATATCCTTGGTGATTTGTTTGACAGATAAAAGATTGGTTGTCAATTTGGGCACATGTAAAACATTTTTAAGACACAAGGAAGGTCCTAAGGATATGTCCCCCTGTCCTGCAACAGTGACTAAATTCCCATCAGCTATGGTGATCTTTTTATTACTTGGGCATGGTTTATAAGAAGAAAAAGATTGGGATGAGTTGGTCATATAGTCGGTTGCGCCTGAGTCGACAATCCAAGAATGTGGGTGGATTAAAACATTATCTGAGACACTAAGAGCATGAGAACCAGAATACATACCAGAAAGTGCTAATGAACAGGCACCTGTAGGTTCTTCGAGTGAATTAAGAAGGGATCGGAGGCGATCAATGTCTTCCTTACAGAATTCTCTGCTGCTGGAATTCGGTTGATCACTGGTATTATTAGTGCTATTTTGTGCAACGTGGGCTTTTCCCTTTTGCTGCCAGCTTCTTCCTCCGGAATTCCAATTTGACCGATTCATGTTTTGTGGCCTTCCATATAGCTTTTAGCAGGTGTCCTTCATATGACCAGTTTTCTTGCAATAGTTACATACCAGATTCTCTTTGAATGTCCTTTTCGGGTCAAATTTCTTATAATCAGTAATAGCTGAAGACTTCTTCTCCAAAGTTCGCTCACTAGCAGCGGTTGTAAGGAGTGCCGATCCTTCCAATGGTTGCGAATCCAACATAACTCCTCTCCTGCTCTCTTCAACACGAATAGTTGCAATTGTTTCATTTAGGGAGGATAATCCTTTCCCAAAGTCTGAACTCTTACAGTATCGAATTCCGGATTAAGGCCTGCTAAGAAATCATAGATTCGGTCTTTTTCTATGAAAGCCTTTAACAACGCAGCATCCTCACTGTTCTTCATCTCGAGAACCTGGTAATAGTCCAACTCGTACCACAAATTTTTCAGAGTGTTGGCATACTCTGTTACAGTCTTGTTCCCTTATTTTGTGGCAGCTAGCTTCACCTTGATCTCGTACACCTGGGCTGCATCATTTTTCTTCGAATAAGTCTGTCTGATCGCCTCCTATATCTCTTGAGCGGTTGTCAAAAACATGACAGTATCACTTATCTCGGGTACCATAGCATTCCATAGCCATGACATGACCATTGAGTCTTCTTCGTCCCAAGCAGCAAACTTTGGATCTTCTTTCTTAGGCCCTTTTCCAAGAAGATGGTTGAGCTTGCCCTTCCCTTTCAGAAAGGTTTGAACAAGTTGAGACCACTTTAAATAGTTCGTTCCATTCAGCCTATACGCAATTTGAATGTTCTGTAGATCTCCAGGAACCTGTTGTTGGATTGTAGGTTCCTCCGATTGAGAGCTGGTTTGTGTAACCTCTGACATCTCTTTTTTCTTCTGTAAAAAACTGAACTCCAAGCTGCTATGAAATCTGTAAATGATGAAATATTTTATCCCAGAAAGAGTACCTAGTGCTCTGATACCATAACACAGAAATTGGGAAAAACTGGAGTATATTTTATTACTTTCTAATACAAAGCAGCCTGACCTTTATAGGTTGAATACAATCAGATCAGAATCCAGTAAATTAAGGACTATACAATTAAATCCCTAAGATCAGAAAATAAAATAAGTCAACCTAAACTTTAATACACCAGTTATATTAGCCTGTAATTAGTACAAAATCAGACAGTTAATACTTTCCAAATTTATCTAACAATTACATAAATCACATAATTCTCCAACAGAAACATTAGTAAAATCTTTCTAAAAAGCAAGATCTTTTTCTTAAGATTTTTTAGGATATTATTATCCTAAAGAATATAAAGGAAGTTTAGTAATTTTTTTCTTTTCATATCTTCCTTTTTAATCCACATCCTTTTTGTTTTCAATTCAAAGTTCTCTTGAATTTTATAATGCTTTTGTTTTGTCAAATCTTTATTTCTTTCAAAATGTGAAGCTTTGGAAAAAAATTTGTTCAAAGCTAAAGCTTTTTGAGACAAATAATTCACCCTGGAAGTAAAATTAGCATTCTTGAACTTGTTTTTCTCATTTTTTTTTTGGGTAAGTGCTTTTCTCATAGATTTACCAAATTATCTCTTGGAAAATATCTATTCTTCTTTTTACAATACAAACAATGATGAAAATTTAGGATATTTAGGAGAATCATAAACTAATGTAATTAGCTATGAAAGAAAGAAAATAAATCTGAAGGAAAAAGAAAAAGCAGAGCGCTAATTCAAGCTAACGAATTGCTTAGACACCCACAACTCAATACCTAAAAAAATGGGAGAGGTAAAAACTTCTGTAGCAAACAATTTATATTGATAATACGCCAAAAAGATCCTTGATTACAACTCGGAACAGCCCTTTTATAGGACATAAAGGATGCCCTAGCAAAGATATAATCCTCGCCCTTCAAATAAATGTAATATAAAGGCTAGTATTTTCTCTAGCAGAATAAAGAGCTAAAAAATGACTAAACAGCTCTTAAATGGTCACATGACTTCTTAAAAGGCACATTACTTGTGAAATAAAACCAAAATGACAATAATATCCTAAACATGAAATAAAAACAGATTTAAGACTTATAAATGACTCAAGACTCAAAACAATCATATAATTCTATCACATCATGAGCTGACCCTATTTATGGAAACTAAGTCTAGTCTTCTTAGGATGTTCAACTATTTGAAGATGGTCCTCTTCCACTTGCTCTGCATCAGAAACTTTAGGTAGTTCTTTCACTTTTTCAATATTTGTGTTAGAAGTAGATGGTATATTTGATTCATCAACAAATACTAAACCACTATCATCTCCTACAAGTTAATTCATCCATCTGATTTTTCCATTCGACTGGTGAAGTTTTGAATGGTCTCCTTTGATTTTTCTAAATCAATTATAAGTTTCAATCTTAAATTCAAGAGACTTTTTTAAATT